GACGGAGGCAACAAGGAGGCGATCGTGTTGCGGGATGGCAGCGGTGAGCACAGACTTGGCGGCGGCGGGCGCAGGCTGGATGAAGGAGGCGGGCATGCGGCTGGACAGAGGTGGCGAGCAGGCGGCCGTGCAGCGAGATGGCAGCGGTGGGCGGTTGTGTGGTGGGCAATGGAAGGCTAGAGGCTAGGGTTGGATAAAAATGGGTAGGATGTTAGGATTTTGTAGGCATAACTTAAAGGGTATATTAGTCCATACAAATTAATTATTAATTACAAAATTAAATAAATGTTACAAATTTAAATACTCCCTCCGTCCCATTGGACTTTGCCAACTTTCCCTTTTTGGTTGTCCCAAAAACTTTGTCACTTTCTTATTAAAGCAACTAATTTGTGGTTCTGCACATTTCTCTCTCCTTTGTGGTTTTACCATTCTTATTTCTCACCTACTTTGCACTTGGCAAAATCCACCGGGACAGAGGGAATATTATTTTGAGAAAAAAATCGGTTAGGTCATAGATTGGGAAAGTGATGAGTTTTAGTCATACCTGGGATAATTTTCTCTATAATTTATACACCCAAACTTTATATAAAAACTATGTTAGTGATAGGTGTGAAAATACCTAATACTTTCTCATAAAATGTGGTCTTTGTTTGTTAACTTTTGAAGATTATTCTCCTATTTTGATTTTACTTGTGCAATATTTTGGTTGTAGGAACCATATGAAGGATTTGGGCGTTGTAGGGGTGAAAACCGAACATTCTGAAGAGTATCGAGAGCATAAATGAATGATTTGAAGACCCCGGGAACCAAGCGGAGCACAAGGAAGCAAGAAACAAAGATGTCGGAGGTGTTTCGGGGAAGGCAGCCTCAAGAACGCCATAGGGAACGATGTGTTGGGTGTGTTTCGGAAAATAAAGAAAATTAATTAAAGTAAATTTATTAAAATGATGAAAGAAAAACAGAAATAAGATGGAGTAGAAATTAGTCAAAGCTCGTGCTACGCACGATGTCCTTAAAATGTATTTGTTGTCTCCTAGGGTGCTAGGAGCGTTGCAACAATCGTTTCCCAGTATACGATGACTAGCGAGCAACCGTTTGTGCACTCAAACGATTGTTCCGGCGAACCGGAACAAAGCATGAACACAGAAGGGAAGTTTTCAGAGATAGTTGCAGGTGTTTTCGAGAGCCCAAAGTGCGTGATATCGTTTTTAATTGCAAAGGAACGTTGGGCATTTATGCTGCAACATTTCAGTTCAGCAGCATGGAGCAAAAATAAAATAGGAATGTAACGGAAGAACAAAAGTTAACGTTATCTTTAGAAGATAGATTTTCGGATGGCATTCGTGTCCGCATGTCGCCCCGCAAGTCGCGCCTTTTGTTCTCCGATTTCACGAGATTTGATCCCCCCCCCCCCCCGCAAGAGAGATCCTTTACCCTTAGGAATCTTAACTCCTTAAGGGGAGGTTTCCCTTTATAAAGGGTTGAAAGTCCCTTGGGTTTTCCGGTGTGGGAAAAAAACGCACTAGAAACCCATCTTTTCCTAGTTTTCTCCATTTCAACGAGTGAACTTCGAGAATCGATTTCTCATTCATCCATTATCCGTTTTGAGCATACCATATATCGAATTGTAGCCCTAAGCAAGGACAATCCGAAACCACTCTGACCCGACCCAAATCAGAAGTGGACCCCACTCAAAAAAATTCCCCAAAATGACCATTTAATGCAATTTATTAACACATTTTCCAACACGACCCCCCCCCCCCCCCCCCCGTTTTGTTCCTCCAGATTTCAAATTTTATGTCCCAGCTGTGGGAACGCTGGAAGGCAACGGCGTTCCTGTCAGCGTTCCCTCAAGAACGACATCCCTACTCCGTTCCTCCCAGCCTCGAACTCTCTGTCAGCCGCATGTTTTAATTTGTATAAGTAGGAACGTCTAGGAGGAACGCCGTTCCTTCCAGCGTTGCCTCCGGCGTTCCTCGTAAAGGGAAGGCGTTCCTGCCCAGCGTACCCCCATTTTTCCCCATGTATAAATAGCGCCATTTGTTCGAATTTTCAGGGTTTTTGGACGAACTTTCTTCTTGCAAACCCTAGTTTTGGTTGTAAGCTTCCTTAAACTCATTTGCACTTCATTTCTTAATATTATTTGCATCAAATCTTGAATCCAGTTTCATTTAATCCATTTTATTGCATCATTGTCATATTTCTACAATCTTATCCATTTATCTCACTTCATGTCTGTCTTATATTTCTTTTGTGAACATGAAATCTAGCATGAGTGAGTAGTTGGATTAGGGATTGGGGGGTGTTTGAGCACCATCCAACCATGTGATGTGTTAGGTTTTGGGGTTTGATTTGGAGGAATTTGAGAAATATATTATGCACACAATGTGTTTGTGAAAATGCCTCTTTGTGTTTCTAAGACTTTGATGGCCACAATGTTCTTAGATGTTGGTTTGGACCCTTAAGGAGACTTGTAGGGGTTCCTTTTGACACATTCACACACACACACACACACACACACACACACACACACACACACACACACACACACTACCCCTCTCCATGAGAATGGGAGGAGGTAGGGGAAAAAATGTTGGTTGCTCTTCTTTGCATGACTTTGGATTTCTATTGGACCATGAGAATGGCCAATAGGAACCCTTAGTATCTCCTTGACCATGAGTGGCAAGGAAACTTGTACCTATCCCTTGGTTGCATGATATATTCCCAAGTATCCCCATTTTGACCCCTTATCCTTAATCCTAGGTTGTTCCTTGTATGCCCCCGTTTCCCTTCTAGTTTAATCGTTATCTATCTCCATTGCAATTAGTTATTCTCTTAAATCAAACATACATCGACTTGGCTAGCTTGCATGTTAGATTTCTAGATTGATTTCACACTTGATTTTCCATATACAAGTGAGTATCCGGGACTTTCATATCCCGACACCCGATGAGCATTATTGAGAAAATGAGTCGTCAGTTAGCATCATGATCATATATTTTTGGGAAAAGCACGGGGAAATCTCTATAATAGTGCCATTCATAAAAGATGCGCAAGTGTCCACTATGGTGAGTTATACCATATAGACCGAAATCTCTCATGACGTATTAGACCCTTATGATTCAAAAATGTGTCAAACTCTCATATGTAATGATCATTGTTCTAAAACTCGCTAGGCGCTAGTCGGGCGGTTGAGGGGCGCCTAGCGCCTAGGCGGCCGACTAGGCCGATTTTTCGGCCGACTAGGCCGATTTTTTTACCGACTAGGCCGATTAGGCCTCTACAGTTAGGGCCGCCTAGGCCGCATAGGCCGATTAATCGGTCCGCCTAGGCCGATTTTTAGAACAGTGGTTATGATTAATCATGCGCAAAATTTATTAACCTTCTCTAATTAAGAACAAATTTAACAATTTTGAAATAGTTTGCCTTAATATTATGATTGGATACGCAAATAAATTTGTCAAGATCTATAAATTAATGCAAAAACACTAATCATATTTCTTTTACTTGGCCATTAAGTTTGTTCATTAAAGTTATCTTGTGCATGAATAGTTATAAAACAAGGAGGTTTGAAGAATTTTATAAATTACATGAGGCTAATGCGCCGAATTCAATGCATTGAATAATTGAACATGATTGTTATACCATATGTGTTGTTTATTGGTCCGAATACGGCATCGTTTTGTTAATTAAAAAAATTGTGAGAACTCATGCTCTTCTCTAGTCATTTATTCTTCTTCTTATTCGTTGATCCGTTCGCCCATCTATTTCCATTCTTCGCCTAGCTTTCCGGCCATCTATTCCTCTTTTTCATGGATCTATCCGGTAATCTATTCCTCTTCTTCGCTTATCTGTTTGACCATCTTCTTTATCAACCCTTCCATTTTTTCTTCTTCTCTTTTCTTTCCTTTATTTACGAATATTTACAAAAATGTCAACGCGTCTACATGTTGGGCAAAAGTGCATCAGATAAGTGATGGTTTTACCGCCTATGGGTAGGCAAAATGAGGGAGAGTCGAAGAACAATCAAAGTATGAACGGAGTAGAAAAATGACAAAGTAACAGTATGCTAGAACTCAATATTGTGATCCATTTCCACAACGATGAAAATTATATTTATAATGTATAAAGAAATACTTGGTGAACAAGTAAAAGTAACTAACTCATTAGTTTATTATCACGTGTAAGGCTTAATTGGTGAGAGAATAGGTGGTTGATTGGTACTGTTGTACTGGCTTTTGTCCTTGTGTACTGAATGGTTATACAGGCCACACGTGTAAATCTTGCAGCTGGCAGGTGTAACTGAACTATGTGACGTCAGTCTTGGGACACCTGTGATAAGGTAACGTGATGTTGAATGTTTGTAGGATCGTGGAGCTGGAATGTCTAAATCCACAATATCCATCTGAGATCATGAGCTCGGTGTGAGTGTAGACCTAGCTCGGGTGCAAGTGATGATGTAGGAGGTGGGGAACCTTGTCCTGAAGCTCGGTCGTGGTGTCTGCATTGCTGCTAGCTTCGTTCGACAAGGGTCGACCTCGGCCTCGACTACAGTTTTGAACTTATATCGATGACCTGAGAACCAGTTTTGAGCTCAGCCTCGGTCAGAGTTGTCTTAGCGGATTCTGGAGACCCCTTAGCTATCATAGCATGCAACTTGATGCAACTTGATGCAAGTTGATATCATGCCGCCCACCGCTATCATAGCATGCAACTTGATGCAAGTTCACTATTATTCGAATGGGCACGATTTTATACGCTACATGAATAGTTTTTTTTTTGAAATACCACACTGGGTGGGGGTGACAGGGAACACTGCCAATTTTATTAATATAATAAAGTAGTGATAAGTCCATTTTTGTACTTATTTTTCTTATCAAATTTAAGCGATTTTTGAATAAAAATAGAAAGAAAAGGCATGTTTTAGATATTTTGGTTCAAGTTTCATGAAATCAGGTGAAAATCACATTCATAATATGTTTGCCGGGATTTTGGGTCAATTGAGCACAAAATGAGTCAATTTGAGTAACAAATGAAGTCATACCGGAAGAAGTAAGCATTTTATCAAGGTGATCCAGAAGGCAATCTTGGAGAGCAAGAAACGCGGGATTTATCAGACGAATTTGGCGGAGGGCGCCCAAATAGGCGCCCAATATGGCCGCCTGGCTGGCCGCCTACGGTATATCAAAGTCAACGCTCCAGTTTGACCCGAACCTGTAGAAGACAGAAAGCGGCCGACGGAGGAAGGAAGGCGGCCGCCCTTCGTGGCCGCCTGCGGCACAACGGGACAAGGCCAACCACCGGCCGGTGCGACTTGACGGCAGGCGGCCAGACAGGAACGGCAGGCGGCCGCCGTCTGGACCGCCTGCGGCTGACGTTGACGGGCTCACGTCGACCTGCCGGTGAAGACAACGGAAGGCGGCCAATTTTGGTGGAAGGCGGCCGCCCTCTATGGCCGCCTACGGCTGACGGAGACCAGCCCACGTGTCGTTGCCGGCGAGTTGACGGCAGGCGGCCAGTTGCTGCCGGAAGGCGGCCGCCTGCCCGGGCGCCTTCGGGGAAATTTTTCCTATAAATTGCCCGATTTTTCCTCAACTCAAACACACCACTTCCAACCCTAAATCAGTTCAAAACACCTTCTTTCTTCCTCCATTTTCGAGCTCCAAGGGTCTTAGAGAGAGAGAAACTTCAAATCTTCATATCTTCTTCATTTTAGCTCCAAATTGTAAGTTCTTTATATGTATTTTCATCTTCTCAACGAGTAGAATCTGAATCTGCACTTTGTTTGTTCGATCTGTTCTTCGAAAATTTCCAGATTATTTTTCAAGTATTTCGCATTTCCTTCCAAAAATTAAATAAAATAGTTATTGTTGTTGAATTCATTCCAATTAATTATATAGTTGTTCACTAGCCTCAAGGAAGTTATTTAGCTGAAGAAATTAATTTTTCACGAAGCAGAAGTAATTTTTAATTAATTTTGGTAATTATTTGATATTAGTTCATAATTTAGAATAAATACTAGAAAAAAAGGAAAAAAATGAGTTCGGCCCTATTTACAGTTTAGTTAACTTAAATATCATTACTAGTAGTTAATATAAAATTTGGTACGAACTTAGCGTTTTTTTTATTAATTTCGGTAATTACCTTATATTATTGCTTAAATCAAAATAAATACTAAAAAAGGAAAAAAAAAATAGTTCGGACCTGATTACAGTTTATTCACAGTTATATACCTCCCAGTAGTTAAAATAAAATTTATAACGAAGTTAGCATATTTTTAGTTGCTTTTTGCATTTTCTAGTTAAAATTGGGAAAGTTATCAATTAGTTGTTAAAAATTGGATTTTAGGTTCAAAAATTTGTGAAAAATTCCAGAAAGTTATATTTTAGTTCTTACAAGTTTATTGTTCCAGAATATAATTTTTGTTTAATTTTTGCTATCATACATGTTTAATTCCTTGTTAATGTTGAATTTAATCATTATATTGTTAATTGCAAAAATGATGATGAGTAGCTAAATTTGTTAGGACATGAATTGAGAAAAGGAATATGGATTGACTTGTTGACCTAAAATTAGGGGTTAAGATTAATAAATTGGACTAGTTGTTTAAAACGATGAAATAGTAATTAATAATAGTTAACCATTTTCATTAATTAAATTCTTGGAAAATTAATTCTAACTTGTCTATGAGATTAGAAATTAATTTGAGCCAACCATATTTGAGCACATTAATAAGGCCTAGAAATAGGATAATTTAATGAAAAGGATTTACATCTTGTCTATGAGAAATAAATTCAATTGCTAAAATAAAGAGTTTAACTAGTTAATGAATTTGGCTATTTTTATTAATTAAAATATTGGAAAATTATTTCTACCTTGTCTATGGGTTTAGAAAATAATTTAAGCCAACCATTTTAAACACATTAATGACACCTAGAAATAGGATAAATTAATGAAGATAGTTTCTATTCTTGTCTATGAGGAAAGAAATTATTAGTCCAATTTTAGTTTTAATTTCCCTAATTAAGGGGTCCAAGAACATATCCATTTCTAATTACTCAATTCATTGCCCTTATTTGCATCCTTGAATATTCAATATTTATACATTAATCTTTAAATTGCACCTTGCTCCTAGTTATAATTTAGCATAATATAGAACAAAATCACTTTCCTATATTGAAAAAGCTTCCAAAGATTAGCGATAGCCCGTGACTAAAATTAAATTAAGAAACTTCTCCGCCATTCCTCAAGAGACACGACACTCGGGGAAAAACCGAAAGGTTAGACTCCGTTTTACTACAACGCCGCGAAAGCGGTTATCAAATGGCGCCGTTGCCGGGGAATGGCACGATTAATTCTTGATTTAGTTCTAGCATAGGTGAATTCTAGTTAGGGAGACTTTTTCGCCCTTGCGACAATTTGTATAAAGATTTCAGGATAAATGAATGCACACCCGCTCTAAAGGAGTGGAAGGTCTAATTGAACTTGATCCTGAACCTGAACGAACTTTGTGGAAAAATCTTTCAATCCACAAGAAACCAAGCATGGCGGGAGAAAGGACGGTGTTGCAAAATCTTACGCCAAACTTCATCGAGGATGATAGTATCAGCGCACCGGCAATCGAGGCAGCCAATTTCGAGATCAAACCCGCCATTGTCAACATGATGTCCAACCATCAATTTGGCGGGTCCAAGCAAGATGACCCTAGGGCCCACATGTTGTGGTTCACCCGAGCATGCCAAACGTTCCGCTTTAACGGAGTAACCCCCGACGCCGCAAAGTTGACCCTATTTCCCTTCTCATTACGGGATAGGGCATCTTTGTGGCTGAATAGCTTTCCAACGGGTCACTTCACAACATGGGCGGCACTGCACCAAGCATTCATGCAAGAATACTTTCCTCCATCGGCAGTTGCTAAAATTAAAACAGCAATCCAAAACTTTAGGCAATTCCCGATGGAGTCCTTAAGTGAAGCATGGGATCGTTTCAAGGATATGAGAAACAAATGTCCACTCACACTGATGGATTCTAGTAGCTTGATGTTCCATTTTTATAATGGACTTCAAGTTAGTAGCAAAAAAGAACTTGATTTCTCTTCTCAGGTAGGATCATTCCTTGACATGGCACCCAACACCAACGAAGCTCTGGTGGAGAAGGTCACTTCAAATGCAAGATACTGGTATGACGAAAGAACTCCAGCAGCAACAAAACCAGGCTATCTTGAAGTTGACCAACTCACGGCCCTAACAGCGAAGATTGAAGGATTGGTCGTGGAAGTGAAGAATTTGAAGAATGATAACAATCACACCAACCAAGTCAACAACATCGGTGCTGTCCCGAATCAACAATCATCCCGATACTTCAGGAACTCAAGCTCTGCTCCACAGTCATCTCAATTTAATACTTTTTCACCTGTTTCTCATTCAACTGAACTTGTACTCTCATGTGAGATATGTTTTGGTCCACATTTGACCAACTCATGTCAATTAGTCGATGAATGTAATGTAAACAACAACAGGGAAGTGAACATGCTGGAGTATGGCCGAACAAAACAAGAAGGGCCATGGGCGAATCAGGGCAACAGAGGGGGTAACTCCAACTACCCTCCTCAGAATTTCCAAGGAAGGAATTACCAAGGTAACCAATGGCGGGGGGATTACAACAATGGTCCTCCTCGCGGCGGTTATCAAGGTAATCAAAACTACTCCAACAACAATCAAAGCAACAACTTCCAAGGTCGTAACCAGGGAGGTGCATCAAGCCAACAAAACAACCAAGCTTATGTGCCTCCACACCAACGACAAACGGAGGCTGCCCAGCCATCAGAGATAGGCTTGCTGGTAGCAGAACTGGCAAGGACACGGGAGGAAATAACAAGATACAAGGCCAGCACTGACAATCAGATCAAAAATCTGATGATGCAAATTAATCAGAACAATGTTCCCGGTCGTCAGCCAGGCAACTTGCCTAGCACCACGGAACCAAACCCCCGTGAACATGTGCAAGCCATCACTCTCCGAAGCGGGAGACAAACAACCGTGGCTGAGCAGAAAGACAAGGAAGAGGAAGGTACCCCGACCATGGAACCTGAGAAACAAACTGATGCTCCAACTGAGAAGAGCATGGAACCAACACGCCCTAACACAAGGGTCACTATCGTCAAACCTTCTCTCCCGTTTCCTTCACGGGTTAGAAATGATGACGATAGCAGGAAGTACAACAAATTCCTGGACCTACTCAAACAACTCCACGTCAACCTGCCGCTGATGGATGCCCTAGCGGAGATGCCCAAATATGCCAAGTTCTTCAAGGACTTGCTGACAAACAAGAGGCAGCTGCAGGAACTCTCAGTCGTGGACTTAAACGCAGAATGCTCGGCCGTGGTTCTAAGGTCAATACCCGAAAAGCTAAAGGATCCAGGTAGTTTCACTATCCCTTGCTCTATAGACAATTTCAATTTCAATAATGCTCTAGCTGACTTAGGGGCAAGTATCAATCTGATGCCTTCCTCTATAGTCGAGAAGCTAGGACTTGGGGAAATGAAACCCACCAGGATGTGTCTTCAACTGGCTGATCGCTCAGTCAAATATCCGAAAGGAATTGTTGAAGACGTCCTGGTCAAGGTTGACAAATTCATTTTCCCAGTCGACTTTGTAGTAATGGACATGGAAGAGGATAGGGAAACACCTCTTATTCTGGGAAGGCCGTTTCTGGCTACCGCCAGGGCCTTGATTGATGTCACTGATGGCTCATTAACTCTAAGAGTCAGAGATGATCTATGCACCTTCCGACTCTCAGATGTTATGAAACACCCCACAGATTCCTTTCAAGGATGTCATTTTCTTGATACCTTTGAGTCTATTGAAGGGTATCTGTTTGGGGAAGAAAATGGACATGTAACTGATGAAGCATGTCTGTTAAAAGAAGCCAACAATGATGTGAGTGATGCATGCGAGAGTTGTGAGGATGCGCTGATTGATCAAGCTTCTAACGAAGTATTGATTGAGTTTGAGGGGGAGAAAAATGAACAAAACTTGAAAAACGACCACCCCCTCGAACTAAAGAAACTGCCCGACCACTTAGAATATGCATTCTTGGATGACGAAGGCAAATGCCCTGTCGTCATCGCCGCACACTTAAGTGAGGAACAAAGGGAGAAATTACTTGGAGTCCTTAAGACACACAAGCAAGCAATTGCTTGGAAACTTGAGGACATCAATGGAATAAGCCCCGCCTTTTGTACCCACTCCATCAAAATTGAGGAAGGGTTTAAACCAGTTGTCCAACCACAACGACGTTTAAACCCAAACATGATGGAAGTAGTGCGTGCTGAGATTGTCAAACTGCTGGATGCGGGTATCATTTACCCCATCTCTGATAGCCAGTGGGTAAGCCCTATTCATGTTGTCCCCAAAAAGGGGGGAATGACCGTCATGAAAAATGAAAAGGGCGAACTTTTACCCAGTCGAACTGTTACCGGGTGGCGAATGGTAATCGATTACCGCAAACTGAACGAAGCCACCCGGAAAGACCATTTTCCCCTTCCCTTCATCGATCAATTAATAGAGAGGTTGGCAGGCCATAGTCACTACTGTTTCCTGGATGGCATGAGTGGATACTTCCAAATCCATGTCAACCCGGAAGACCAAGACAAAACTACGTTTACATGCCCTTTTGGGACCTTTGCTTTTCGTAGGATGTCTTTCGGTCTCTGTAATGCTCCTGCCACCTTCATGAGGTGCATGATTGCCATTTTTGAAAAATACATTGGCCACTTCATGGAGGTATTCATGGATGACTTCTCTATTTTTGGGGAAACGCTTGAAAAATGCCTCGAAAACCTGGAAAAAGTACTTATCCGCTGCAAGGAAACCCATTTAGCCCTAAGTTGGGAGAAATGTCACTTCCTTGTGAAAGAGGGTATAGTACTTGGACATAAAGTGTCAAGTAACGGGGTAGAGGTGGACCGTGCAAAAATTGAGACAATAGAGAAACTTCCTCCACCAACCACGGTAAAAGCCATCCGCAGCTTCTTAGGACACGCGGGCTTTTATCGTCGTTTTATAAAGGATTTCTCTAAAATCGCAAAACCTCTCACCCGGTTACTTGAAAAAGATGCGGTTTTTATATTCTCTGATGAATGTCACCATGCTTTCCAAGCACTTAAAACACAACTGATCAATGCACCTGTGCTTGTGGCCCCAGATTGGAGCTTACCCTTTGAACTCATGTGTGACGCTAGTGACTTAGTAGTGGGGGCCATCCTTGGTCAAAGGAAGGACAAGAACTTCCACCCAATCTACTACGCTAGCAAAACTCTGTCAGGGCCACAACTCAACTACACCACCACTGAAAAAGAATTCCTTGCTATTGTTTGTGCTTTAGAGAAGTTTAGGACTTACATCATTCTTTCGAAGGTTATTATCTATACCGACCATTCGGCCATTAGATATCTCCTCCAAAAGCATGATGCTAAGCCTAGACTGTTACGCTGGGTTCTTTTGTTGCAGGAATTTGATATTGAAATCAGGGACCGAAAAGGGTCTGCTAATCAGGCAGCTGATCACCTCTCGAGGTTAGATGCCGAGTTAGCAGAAACTTTCGGAAAATGCGAAATTGAGGAGCTTTTTCCTGCTGAGAGATTGATGGCGATTTCCGCCAAGGAGCAAACACCGTGGTATGCCGACATTGCCAACTACCTTGTTGGTAAAGTCGAGCCTACCGAACTGACAAGGCACATGAAAAGGCGGTTCCTATCAGAAGCAAAGCACTATTTTTGGGATGATCCATATCTATTCCGAATTTGTGCTGACCAGGTGGTGAGAAGATGTGTTACTGAAGCTGAGGCAAGGGACATTCTAGAGCATTGTCACAGCGGTCCTACTGGGGGCCACTTTTCAGGGAATAGAACCGCAAGGCGGGTTTTGGACTGTGGGTACTTCTGGCCCACGATTTTTAAAGATGCTAATGAATTTGTTTCCTCTTGTGATAACTGTCAACGAATCGGGAACATTTCTGGGCGCAATGAGATGCCCCAACACTTTATCTTACCTTGTGAGGTATTTGATGTTTGGGGCATCGACTTTGTTGGACCTTTCCCAAGCTCAAGAGGAAACAAATACATTCTTGTGGCCATTGATTATGTTTCTAAATGGGTTGAAGCCCAGGCCTGTGTCACCAACGACTCTCGAGTAGTCGTGAATTTTCTGAAAAAGCTCTTTACCAGATTTGGTGTGCCTAGGGTTTTGATCAGCGATAGAGGGACTCATTTCCACAATGATCCAATGGCTAGAATTTTGGCCAAATATGGAGTCCATCATCGAAGCGGAGTAGCGTACCACCCCCAGACTCAGGGACAAGTGGAGAACGCTAACAGGGATTTGAAGTCCATTCTGGAGAAAACTGTTGCCCAGACCAGGAAAGACTGGTCAACTAAACTTGACGACGCTCTTTGGGCATTTCGGACTGCTTACAAGACCCCGATCGGAACAACACCTTTTCGCCTTGTATACGGGAAGTCTTGCCACTTACCCGTCGAACTCGAGCATAAGGCACTTTGGGCGATGAAAAATGTTTGTTTTAAACTGGATGCTGCAGGGAAGGAACGATTTTACCAGCTGAATGAACTGGAAGAATGGAGAGCGCAAGCTTTTCATAATTCCAAACTTTACAAGGAACGAGCCAAACTCTACCATGATCAACACATCAAAGCTCGTGATTTCAATGCTGGAGATAAAGTGCTGTTGTTCAACTCCCGGTTGAAGCTTTTTCCAGGAAAGCTTAAATCAAGATGGTCCGGACCGTTCAAGGTCATAAAAGCTTACCCCTACGGAACTGTTGAGATTGAAGATGCTAATGGGGCTCCCTTTAAAGTCAACGGCCACCAACTTAAACTCTACCATGGCGGCCCGATTGAAAAAAGCAAGGAGATTCTCTATCTCCAAAAATTTTGAACCAAGGGAGGACATTCGTCAAGCTAGTGACGTTAAAGAAGCGCTCATTGGGAGGCAACCCAACCAAAAAAAAAAAAAAAAAAAAAAAAAAAAAAAACTAACCCAAAATATTTTACTTTGTTTATTTCTTGCAGATGTATGGAGGAGGTGACGACCCCATCTTTGAGGATTCACCACTAGGAAGGGAAGATCCGCCGCCTCAGCCCGATATCCCCTTTGCCACTATCGCAGACCGCAGACGCTTTCAGGTATGGGGACAGTACCGCACTCTCCTGGCTCCCATGATCTTAGACCAGGAGATGCTCGAGGAGTGGGGATACTGGAGTGATATTGATGCTCTGCTGGGAGACTCTTTGTGGCGGAGGATTCTACTCATACAGGAGAGGGCCAGTCTCCCGTTGACGATAGAGTTCTTGTGCTCTCTACAGTTCACTCACTATGGCCAGACTGTGCAGGAGAGTTCTGTCATTGGGTCGGAGACTCAGATGAGATTCACTATTAGGGGCATTGAGCACTCCATCTCTGTGGCTGAGCTCGGATGGAGGATGGGGCTCTATGCTCCGGCTTACACCCAGACGGAGGAGTTCCGTGCTCTCTCGACCCGTCTACCCGAGGCTTTTGACGTTGAGGAGTTCTGGCGCCGACACTCCACAGACACCAGGTCGTTTCTCCGGCAGCATCCCCATTCGAACAAATGGAGAGAGACTCACTGGTATATACTCTCATTTGTACTCTCCTGTGGTCTTTTTGGGCGACCTCATAACACAAACAGGGTGTCCAAAAAGGACATTTTATTCTTTTGGAGTCTGATTCACCGTACCCCGGTGAATATGGCGGTCCTTATGGCTCGTTTCTTCCGGAGCCAGGGGAAGACTGTCCGCCGCACTATCCAGGCAGGGCCTTTCATCACTACTCTCGTTAGATCATTCTACCCAGATCTAGACATTCCGGGGCTACTGCACTTACAGGATAGCATCCGCGTTCTTCGATCCTCTTCCTTTACCAACATGAGGATCAAGAAGAAGCGGAATACTCAGGAGCTCCCAGGTATTGAGCAGCCGACCCGGCAGGGTAGTTCTTCTCGACCCTCGGGACATGAGGGATCTAGCGAGCCCTTTTCAGACATGCCTAGCGCCGCAGATTGGAGAGCGATGATGGAGGGGATGCGGAGTCTCCAGACTTCAGTTGTTGAGATACGAGATGCACAGGAGAGAGGATTCCAGGAGATGCGAGATGCGCATGCGACGGCCCTAGGAGAGTTCAGAGACTTTCGATTAGCTCAGGAGAGAGCCACCCGGGATATGCAGGAGGAGTTAGAGACCCAGAGGCTAGATATTGATGAGATGAGAGACTGGCTTAGGCCACACTATGGCCCTCGGGATTACGCAGGCGATGCTTAGTTTTGCTTCTTCCTTGACATTTTTTTTATTGTGTTTGTTTGTTTCTTCAGGTTGGACATTGCGCTGCTCTTTTGACTTGAATGCTCTTACAAACTGACTATGGATGATGTAAGGATTTTAAAAAACCATTTTACTCCTGTTTCATTATTCCTCTTCACAAAATCTTTTCAAAACTCAAGTGTGAGGAAAGAACCAAAAAAAAAAAAATGTGCCTTTATTTCCCAATTTTGTGCCTCAAAAGAAGACCTCGAGGGCGAGGTCCAGCTCAAGTGTGAGGAGGTTGCGTTTTACACTCAAAAGCTAAAACCTTATTTTAGAACAATCTTTTTACTATTTTTGACATGAAACATTAATTTCTCAATTTGTTATCAATCTCATAAATAGCTTAGATAATCACCCTTATTATAAGAATTTACTTTTATTATTATTTAGAAAACTTGAATTTGTTATGGGTTTTTGGTTGTGAATGTAAAGGGCTGAATTTGTTTTAATTGGACATTCATTTTATTCATTAAAACAAAAATGTTAGTATTAATAAAACTCCAAAACTCATTGTTATAGGACAATTCCATCTCCGAAAAGGGGCTCTGTTTCATTCGTTAATCACAGTCTGTGAGAATGAAATATGCATTTACCATGGGATAACACCGCCAACAAGAGTGAAAAAGAGCAAAAAAAAAAAAAAAAAAAATAGTGAACAAGATGAATGTCCCAATTAGAATAATGAAAACCTTGGGATAAGGAATTGATTGGTGGTTTAACATAATAAATAGTTTTTCTTAAGTAATACTAATTTTAAACTCTTGTATTTTGGGTGATTTTTCTAAAATGTTTAAAGATTGAGAATAAAAAGAAGAGGTTTTTGTTTCTACTTCTTTAAAATAGCAATTAGATTGTAATACAGTTAGACTTTACCTTTTGAGTGTGTTTACAACTAATTCGTCACTTGAGGACAAGCAACGCTTAAGTGTGAGGAGATTGATAAGTCCATTTTTGTACTTATTTTTCTTATCAAATTTAAGCGATTTTTGAATAAAAATAGAAAGAAAAGGCATGTTTTAGATATTTTGGTTCAAGTTTCATGAAATCAGGTGAAAATCACATTCATAATATGTTTGCCGGGATTTCGGGTCAATTGAGCACAAAATGAGTCAATTTGAGTAACAAATGAAGTCATACCGGAAGAAGTAAGCATTTTATCAAGGTGATCCAGAAGGCAATCTTGGAGAGCAAGAAACGCGGGATTTATCAGACGAATTTGGCGGAGGGCGCCCAAATAGGCGCCCAATATGGCCGCCTGGCTGGCCGCCTACGGTATATCAAAGTCAACGCTCCAGTTTGACCCGAACCTGTAGAAGACAGAAAGCGGCCGACGGAGGAAGGAAGGCGGCCGCCCTTCGTAATTTAGAATAAATACTAGAAAAAAAGGAAAAAAATGAGTTCGGCCCTATTTACAGTTTAGTTAACTTAAATATCATTACTAGTAGTTAATATAAAATTTGGTACGAACTTAGCGTTTTTTTTATTAATTTCGGTAATTACCTTATATTATTGCTTAAATCAAAATAAATACTAAAAAAGGAAAAAAAAATTAGTTCGGACCTGATTACAGTTTATTCACAGTTATATACCTCCCAGTAGTTAAAATAAAATTTATAACGAAGTTAGCATATTTTTAGTTGCTTTTTGCATTTTCTAGTTAAAATTGGGAAAGTTATCAATTAGTTGTTAAAAATTGGATTTTAGGTTCAAAAATTTGTGAAAAATTCCAGAAAGTTATATTTTAGTTCTTACAAGTTTATTGTTCCAGAATATAATTTTTGTTTAATTTTTGCTATCATACATGTTTAATTCCTTGTTAATGTTGAATTTAATCATTATATTGTTAATTGCAAAAATGATGATGAGTAGCTAAATTTGTTAGGGCATGAATTGAGAAAAGGAATATGGATTGACTTGTTGACCTAAAATTAGGGGTTAAGATTAATAAATTGGACTAGTTGTTTAAAACGATGAAATAGTAATTAATAATAGTTAGCCATTTTCATTAATTAAATTCTTGGAAAATTAATTCTAACTTGTCTATGAGATTAGAAATTAATTTGAGCCAACCATATTTGAGCACATTAATAAGGCCTAGAAATAGGATAATTTAATGAAAAGGATTTACATCTTGTCTATGAGAAATAAATTCAATTGCTAAAATAAAGAGTTTAACTAGTTAATGAATTTGGCTATTTTTATTAATTAAAATATTGGAAAATTATTTCTACCTTGTCTATGGGTTTAGAAAATAATTTAAGCCAACCATTTTAAACACATTAATGACACCTAGAAATAGGATAAATTAATGAAGATAGTTTCTATTCTTGTCTATGAGGAAAGAAATTATTAGTCCAATTTTAGTTTTAATTTCCCTAATTAAGGGGTCCAAGAACATATCCATTTCTAATTACTCAATTCATTGCCCTTATTTGCATCCTTGAATATTCAATATTTATACATTAATCTTTAAATTGCACCTTGCTCCTAGTTATAATTTAGCATAATATAGAACAAAATCACTTTCCTATATTGAAAAAGCTTCCAAAGATTAGCGATAGCCCGTGACTAAAATTAAATTAAGAAACTTCTCCGCCATTCCTCAAGAGACACGACACTCGGGGAAAAACCGAAAGGTTAGACTCCGTTTTACTACAACGCCGCGAAAGCGGTTATCAAGTAGCTAGTACAAGAGAAAGAAGAAAAACATGAAAATAGATTACATCAACAGTTCAAAATTTGTAAAATGGAATCCAATGGAAATAGATATGGCTCTGTTGAATTTGTTATGGAATCTTATGGGATTCTTTAGATAGGGCCGGTAAGTTTTAGCCTCCGGGTGAGATAATTTGAACCGCTTGAGAGCTTCTGCCGGTTTATGAGAGAAGTCAAATCTCTCGTCCACTGGATAAAGGAAATAGTCCGTCTCATTTTGGGGTCGTTTGGAGTGACTCCTTGTGATCATGGGATGTGAGTTGTATCCCACATGGTAGTATTGTTGTGCATCTTCTAAATCTTTATTTGATAAGTTTATCGAGGTCGCAGTTTTGTTTTTTCTTCTTTTTACCTGTGTAAAGCCTTCCAGGAGTTCCTCATCGACTGGAGGGATTACTTTATTACCTGACACGGAAAGAGTTGCAAATAGTTTGTCCTCAGAAAGGATTTTATCAGCGGACAGTTCCGGGGCCAGTGTAGTATCTAAGGTGCAAGAATCAGAGAGAAACTCATCATTTCCGGTTTATAACTTTCAAAATTCTAATTTGAATTTTGCGACTATATTATTTCCGGGGCCAGTGATTCTTGCACCTTAGATACTACACTGGCCCCGGAACTGTCCGGTGATAAAATCCTTTCTGAGGACAAACTATTTGCAACTCTTTCCGTGTCAGGTAATAAAGTAATCCCTCCAGTCGATGAGGAACTCCTGGAAGGCTTTACACAGGTAAAAAGAAGAAAAAACAAAACTGCGACCTCGATAAACTTATCAAATAAAGATTTAGAAGATGCACAACAATACTACCATGTGGGATACAACTCACATCCCATGATCACAAGGAGTCACTCCAAACGACCCCAAAATGAGACGGACTATTTCCTTTATCCAGTGGACGAGAGATTTGACTTCTCTCATAAACCGGCAGAAGCTCTCAAGCGGTTCAAATTATCTCACCCGGAGGCTATAACTTATATATTCAGAATATTGAAAGTGTTATAAAGTCGCAAAATTCAAATTAGAATTGAATATAATAGTTAATAAAAAAAATGATAAGTTAAAATAGCATTTAAAGAGAAATTGTGTCGATCAAGAAAGTTTTGCTTTGCAAATCTCTTTGGGACAGAGGGAATATAAGATAAGCGTGTCAGCGTGTGTCTTAATATTGTCTCATTTAAATCGAAATAGGGTTAGTTCGAGACCACTTAAACTAGTAAAAATCAGCATCTTCATCATCATTACCCCAATGTCACAAAGGCTCACACCTTTAGTGAGGTAAGGGGTTCCGGATCATCTATAGTGAAAATCACGTTGAAAGAAGCGCATGCAGACATTTTAGTAAGTCATTTTACTTTATTCCATCATATTCCCAAACCAAAAAATAGTGAGTCTTTGGCTCCATTGCAAATGATGGAAACTTAAACTAGTAAAAAATGAAATCTTTTTTGTTTAATTAATTTACTTTAAACTATTAAAAAATAATTAAACAAAAAAAAATCATTTCTAAGTAGAATATATTAGCATTTCTATCATATATGTATCATAAGTGTAACATTTTTAAAGTCATTAAATGTTAATAACCAGCTATCTATTTTTTTTAAAAAATAAAGTTATTATGTTTCAATTAAAAGTTAATTTAGAATTTAAAAGAAAGCAAATAATGAAATAATTTATTGAAGTAATGTGATCTAATTATGAGAAACTCATATACAAATATGTATACTATATATACACATATATATATACAGAGAGAGAGAGAAATCTGGACTAATAGATATTTATGAGCAGTACTATTTTTTAATTTAGAGTTTGGATTTGAAAAACTAAAAAATACGGATTATTGATATTTATTTTCAGAATTTGCACTATAAAATAGTTAAATGCTAAAAACTCTATAGACATACAAACTGGACAATGGGGCGTAATGGGATGACCTCATGACCTTCTAAAGATCGAATACTATGGTTTTTATCTAGAGCAGGTTGGGAAGTTTCGATTAGCATTTTTTTTAACTATAAATGTGATCCAAGCCATGCCTCAGTACACAATGAATGTATTTTTGTTACCAGTTGACTTGTGTAATGAGATAAGTAGGCCAAGCGTACAAAGGAAAAGGAATCAGATGGAAGAGATGGGGAGATCTTTGTATACCTAAAAGTAAAGGAGGCATGGGATTTAGAAGACCCGAAGATTTTAACATTGCCATGGTGGGTAAACAGGTGTGGTGATTGCTGAAAAATCCAAATTCTCTCGTTGGCAGGATGCTCAAGGCTCGCTACTTTGCTCATACCAATATTCTGGACTTGAAATGTGGGAGCAATCCTTCTCTCATTTGATGGAGTGTCGCTGAGGCTATACCTGCAATTCGAAAGGAGAGTTCCAGTTTGACTAGTTTGTTCTCATTGTGGACAAAAGGAGGAGAGTGTTGTGCATGTGTTGAGGGATTGCTATTTGGCTAAGGAGGTCTGGTAAAATTTGAGCAATAGTTTTCTTTACCCTGTGGCTGGCTACCCATTTTAGGGAGTGGATAATTAATGTGGGCACCAGGTGTTCTGAAGATGATCTTTGTCTTTTTTGTTGTTTCCTGTTGGAGCCCGTGGAAGGTGAGGAATGAGAAAATATGGGACCATCTTGCTGGAAATTGGAGGGCGGTTGTAGCTTGTGGAGAAGCAGGGTTGACTGACTGGAAGGAAGCCCAAAGGTGTGAGGCTGGGGTTCAAGGAAAGGCAAAGAAGAATGAGCAGTGGAAAAGACCAGAGCCGGGTCAAATTAAAGTCAACGTCGATGCGGCGGTTCTGAGTGATGGTGATAGAAGAGGCTTGGATTCAATTGTCAGAGATGATAGAGGGGTCTTCGTAGCTGCTAGATGTGTGCGAAAGAGAGGATTTTTCACGTCATGTACTACTAAAGCTATGGCAGTTAGGAGGCGGTCAAGTGGGCGATTGATTCAGGATGGCAAAGAGTCGTTGTGGAGTCATATGCTCAACAAGTTGTGAAAGGGATATCACGCGTGGAGGGACTGCATTATAATGATGTTATTTTTAAGGATATTGGACACATGCACATGATGTTAGATTTTGATGATATTGTTGTCCAGTTTGTGCACCCGTCAAGGAATCAGGTTGCTCATGCACTTGCAAGGGAAGCCTATTCAAGGGCTGATGGTATTTGGGTGGGATCTCCCCCTGATTGTAACGTTCATGTACTGCGAGTTGATGATTATTAATGAAGTTATTTTTGCCAAAAAAAACAATATTGTACAATTTAAAATCAATAATGTACAAAAAGATCTAATTCCAAACAGAGTGGGATAATATCAAAACAACTCTGTAATATTTCAAAATGACACTACCATGTCATTTCCGCATTTTGCAAACCCTTAGCCTATGGCCCACCGATACTTCACTACCATATCGTTTGCGCGTATCCAATAAATATTTGATACCTATATTCGTCGACACACATTATGTACGTATTGGATATGTATCTGTAATTTAATAAAAGAACTAGACTTAATTATGAAATTATAGATACTTGCATTGCATGTGTCAGTAGACTAAGAAGAATAAGGTCGATCCAGATCAAATGCTAAAAACTCTATAACTCGAAATAGGACTTGATAAAAGAATTTATCAAGGAAAATTGTTCTAAATAAGAATAAACAAGTTTTGAAATTCCAAAATAGGACTGC